GCAAACGTATAAATTGGACTTTGTTGTTTTCTCCATGCCAAAAGTTCGCGTGCAGACATTTGGTTCTCCTGAATATACATTATCAAATAAAGTCAATCGCTCCAACTAAAAGAAAAACCTTAACCTCTTCCCCTCTTCCAGTATCTAGCTAGTACATAAACTTTTCATACAGTCAAAGCATAAAAATATAGAACTTTTTCTTCTTTCTTTTTTGATATTCCACTCCATTAAATGTTGTATTTCCCAAAAATGCAAGACATTATTCACAAGCTTCACCTATTTACTAAAAAGGAAAAACATAGGCATTAAATTAGAACTCCTGCGGCAAAGGCCGGCCATCAAGAAATGACTTGAAGAGCACAAATGATCTCTGTGGCTGTGAAAAAGGAGCCTCGTGAGAAGCGCCTCTTATTGTGGCAAATGACAGAATATCTCCATACACTTGAGTCCATCCACCAACCTGAACCGAGACAAAAGAAGACGACTTTTAAACCATGTTCGTTTTACAAAATACATTCGACAGATTTATTAACTACACAACTTTTTACCTGCTGCCCCTCGAACCAAACTCGATATGGTACAGTTGTGTTAAGTCCAAGTTGCTTTGCCAGTCTACGGACCAATGAGCGTGTTCCGGTCAATGGGATAACAGAATCTTGGTCACCGCTGTTGAGACAAAAGAAATTCGTAATTAACAAGAAATAAAAGATTATTCGTCATTGAAAACAATAAAATTGGTGCCTTTATACCTGTATATTAAGACTGGAATTCCTTGTTTGATAAGTGATCCTACGATTTGAATTGTGGGTTTTTCTAAGTCGAGCATGTCGTAGTCAAGTATGCTGCAACAGAGAATTTTACATGAAAACTTGTTTCAAGAGAGGAAAATGTTATAAAGCTGCACAGTTTATCGAGTAAAAAAAGAACTGATGTAGGAAGAAACTAAGATTTTAAACTAAATGACAGAAGCTGTATGATTGAGCAAGTATTTTCGAGAATGTCTTGTTACACTTCAAATCATCTGCATTAAACTGCAGAGAAGTTTATATATAAATGACATTTTGCTCTAATCACGTGGAACGATGATATAAAAACTGTCCATTAAATTTAGCCTGATTACAAAAAGATAACTCAAATTTCTGAATTGCAAAATTACCGCCTTCACTTATAACTAACACTCTTTATGTCGAAGGATGCATTTTAATTTAAAATATAATTGTGACTTTTTTTTTTTTAATTTAATCACTACTTAAAGATATGATGCTTAAAGATACTCGAATTACTTGCTACAAACATCCCATCTGCGTACTCCAACGAGCTTCGCATGCATAGCCTTTTGCACATCCTCTCGATTCAAGTAATTTATAGTCTCATCCTCGACACAAACATCAATCCTTTCGGCATCTTGCTAGAATCATCATTTAAAATACACATTTGCAATTAGATTCAGTTTGTCAACAAATAATAAATATTGCCGACCTATTAAAAGAACGTTTACCTGAGGAGCAATGAGTTTGGATTGGGAAAGCACAGACGGTATACAAACATCTAAGGTGACATCATATTTGTCCACAAACCTGCTACTTTCTCTGTTAACAAGGCTCATGACCTTAGAACAAACAAGTGAGACCGAATCTCTGTAGTATTCACTCACGTATCTTGAATAATTGCAACCGGAAGTGAACAATTTGTATGTCATATCTGATATTAGCCCATGAGACCAAAAATACTCTGCCCTCGAATTGTAGTCTGAGGCGAACTCGAGTAATGGATTTCCTAGCTGCAAGTAAACAATGCCTATATCAAATCAAACAAGCATCAATTACATCTTTTCTTTTCTATTGTTTCCTATTTTTCTTCAGAGGATTATGAAATGATTTCAGGTAAGTATTCATTTTAGAGATGTTAGTAATGAAAATTAGCTTTGAATTACAAAAGTCTTCAGTTTGGAATTAAAAAAAAAATAAAAAAAATGCTTACAGCAATCCCCTTGAGATTGATTGAAGGTCTCTTCTGGTTGAGTTGAATTATAAGCTCTGCTAGTTGAGGTACGTAATGACCTATTACGTAAAAAACCCGAAAAACAAAAAAAGTTAAAGCGGCAAATCGAGGCTTAAGTGGAGAACAGAAACTAATAAGCTTAAATAAAACGGAAATAAAACAGTACCTGCATAACTTTCACCAGTTATAAATAAACTGTTGTTCCTGAACTGAGGAAATTTGAGGTACCACCGTTGCAAGAACACAAGATTGTCTTTGGCTAAATTAACAAGAAAATCGATAAATAAATAAACAAATAAATGAAGAACTTATACCCATAACAAGAAATTAGAAAGTCCAGTAAAGAATTTCTTGCCTGTAACCTCATCATTCACTGTTCCATAAGAGGTTGAATAAGAGAATCCAACTCCAACTGGTGTATCCAAATAAAGAACATTTGCTTCTGCAAAAATGGAGCACCAAAAATGACGAAATCAACATCATTAGTCAGTCTCATCTATCGTTTCGACAAAAA